TCTTTTTCAAGTCTGTGACGAACATTCTTTGTATAAAAACGGTTGAATCTAACACTATCTCATTATTTTTTAAGGCATATCATGAAAGGTGGTCAACCAGCTGACAAATTTTGTAATTGGTGCAGAAGCCCATGAGCCTCGGTGGTGCAGTGGATTAAAGTGCTGTTAAGTGCTAGCACTTAGCAGCCAGCTGCCTGCAAGTTCGAATCTCACCAGGCTCAAGGTTGACTCAGCTTTCCATCCTTTCGAGGTAGGTAAATTGAGGACCCAGATTGTGGGGGCAATAAGCCAACTTTGTATAGAACAACACCGCTTAGGGGGGGCCGAAAGCCCTAATAAGCAGATATATACAAAAAAGTATGCAGGCTATTATTATAATGCATTGTATGCCACTCTGAGTCTACGGAGAAGGGCGGCATATAAATTGGACTAATAAATTGGACTAATAATAAAAGACAAACATTAGAGTCCTTGGTGCTCTCTGAGTTTGGTTATTTCAAAGGTATTCAAACTTGGCAGCTTTAAGACTTGTGGACTTCAACTCCCAGAATTCTCCAGAAAATTATGGAGAATTATGGGAGTTGAAGTCCACAAGTCTTAAAGCTGCCAAGTTTGAAGACCTCTGAGTTATTTGCTTGCAGATGTTGGCGGAGGTGTGGTTTTCTCCTCAGTAATTTCTTGAGTAGGATATTGTTTTCTGCTTGCTTGTTTGCCTGGCTATTGTCTGATTTTCTGAAACCAGCAACACTGTATATAAGCAGAGAGCAAACCTCAAATTTACCAGCATGATGATGCTACCTAGATGAATAATGAAATGTGTTGAGGGTAAAACTGCCCTCTGCAAAGTGGTGCAATGGACCAGATAGCGAATAGATACGTTGCTTAGCAAAACACACAGATATTCACAGACTCTGAATGTTTAAAGAAAAATAAACAGTCTTTACTTGTAGTAAAAAACAAACTTGGCTTCTTAAAAACAAAGATAACACTTCTTCAAATAATCACGGTTCAACACAAAATCATAGTTTGCTTACAATTCCAGTTCTCTTCAGTAACACAGACAGTTCCTTTCAGCAGTTCAACCTTCTAATAGCAGGAGCAGAAGTGAATGAATTTCCTGCTTTCTTTTATGTCTGCTTAGCAAAGCCAATTAGTCATCTTGTAGCAGTTAAAGTTACAGAACATAGTTTTCTATATATTACCTACCCAACCGTAGGATAAGCATCCAACAAAATGTCTGTAAGCCACTAAGCTCAGAGAGAACCAAGGACTCCACGGATCAACACTTAGCTACAGATATTTTCCTCTATTAGAATTAGAATTAGAATTCTGTTCCACAGTAAATGAGTCTTCAGCTTGAATAAATAATCATTGGGAAGCACCCAGCTTGGTAGCGAAGATGGATCAAGCATGGAGCTAGTGTACAGCCACTGCACAATATCTAAGAGCTATGGCTGATCTCCCTAAGTTCCTTGGAACCTTATCTAATTGTGCCCAGGAGTAGGCTGCCAAACTGGGGAGATATAGGGAGATATCAAAGGTAGAACATAACAATTAGCTCAAATTCTGCACATGTGGGTCTGGTTGTTTGTGCCTGATAATAATGGATTTAATTAGCCAGCTGGGAAAGATGTCCCCCTCAGAGAAAAAACCACAGACTAAAGATAAAATTGAATTGCCTCTTCTTCTTCAGGCCTAGTTGAGAGGGGAATATTACTATTGCTGATTGGTTCTTCCAAATTTCATTTTCATACACTCTGATAATCTCTGCCTACCATCTAGGCTGAGTCTTAAATCACAGATCAGATTTAAGTTTTCCTTTAATTTTTTTCATGTTGGGGCTTTGGAATTCCTCCCCAAGTTTATGTAATAAAGTTATGTTATTTAGTCAACTGCTTTAGTGTAGAGTTTTATAACCATATAACCATTTATTTAAGAATGGAGGTTTTTAAAATATTTTCTTTAAATCTGTAGAAATCTTGCTCAGTGCCACACCAAATGGGATAGAGAGTGTTTATACACTTTGCACCCTGGTTTTATAATCATAAGGACTTTGAACACACAAGCAAACCAATATTGATTTTTCCAGAGTAATTTTCTGAGCCAAATATGTAATTTTTTTCATATTAAAAAGATATGTGAATGTGTGGTTCCAGCCAGGATGGTGCAATCATTAGGAGAAAAATCCTACTTCCCAAAACCCTGCTCAGCATAATGGTGACCTCATTAATGTATACTTTCTCTGGGGAATTACGTTCAGAAAGTATTAAAACATGGAAGTTTTCTCAAGAATATTTTGATTATTTTATTTTATAGATAAAAATGATAGGATAGGAACAATATGATAGGAACAAATCAGTTGATTTAAATAAAATGCTTAATATGAAATGAACTTACCTTGCATTGACATAATCTATATATGTCTACATTTGTAATGATCACACACACATGTATATATCAGTCTACAATTGTTATGATCATTTGTCAGATGGCGACATTGCAGTTGCTGTTGGTAGTAGGAAGAAATATAGTTCTACCCCTCTCTTATATGGAGTATCTCGAGGCTTGATTCTCTTGCCACTTCTCTTTAACATCTACATGAAGTCACATGAATGAATGTTGATAACACTCAGTTGTACATCTTTACCCCAAGCAGGAAAAGTGTTGTGTAATGTCTCGCTAGAGGCTGTGAGGATTTGGATGGGGAGGAATCAGATATGACTCAACCCTAGTAAGACAAAGTGACTGTGGGGTTGAGGTGAACTGGATAGGAAGAATTGCCATCTTTAACTCTTGATGGGGAAGCACTCCCTCAAACAGTCACCAACCATTCAGTTTCATCAGATGATCTGAATTTCTAATGTTAATGAAATATAGAAAATCTTTCTCAATTCACTGTGCCTATCTATCATACACCTTTATTCATGATAGCCTGAAAAACAATTCTCCCTAGATCTTTGGTGTATCACTGTGTCAACATGTAATTCTAATGAAAACAACCAAGTTTTCATTTGAACACATAAGCTATACTGCAAACATCAATACAATACATTATTATAATATCCACTATTCTGATGTGAAGGTTGAAACTGACAAGGTGAGAATCATTAAAACACCACCTCTCAAGGTGGGTGTAAGAACAGCAAAAAGTCACTGACTTGAAAAGATCTTCTCCACCTATTTGACTTCTTTCTTGTTTGCAATTGTTTGATTATGTAACATCAAGAAGGTGAATACATAGATAAAAGAACCTTATATAGCCAAGTCATTCCTGTGAATTTTCTGCTATAAGGAAATTCTTCAGTCTGGGCTTGGGTATTTGGAATGTTGACATTTATTAATGGGCTTGGTATGACTCAGTCTAAGAAAATGACAGAATTTGAAAAGCTCATAAAGAATCAAGTTTACCTATTAGGGTGTATGTATACATTTTTACTTGGGTACGACACAGAGGCAAAACAAATAAAAGAATGAATGATAAAATGGATTCAAATAAATTATCACAAGACAACAATGGGAAGAACTATGGAACAAAGCTATAAAAGTTATAACCTAAGGGTTATAACCTAAGGGAACAATGGTATAAAGGGCTTACAGATAGGATACAAGTCCATTAAGCAAGACAGAAAAATCCTATAGTAAATGCCATGGAAATGACATGAGACAGAAGAGATATTTTACCATATGGGTAGATATGTGTACAAATCTCAAAAATACTGGAAAAAGATGTACAGCACTATTCAGAGAATTTAAGAAATCAAATGTGAAATAAAACCACTTTTTAAACTAAGCATAATTTCAAGATATATCAACAAACATATACAGTCAAGTTTTCCTTTAGTCACAATTCTCCTTTGGTCAAGTTTTCATTTAGTCACAAGATTGGAATTGCATCTCAGCACCTTTCTGAGGTAAAACTAATGGCATAGTTCTTCTGAGACACTGTAACTCTACAATGGCTTTAGTGTTATAAAAATACTATCAACAGCAAATATTGTTTTCTTTTTCTTGTTAATTATTGCTTGGATCATCATTATTGGTACTACTTTAACTATAATCCGTGCCTTATGGTTTTTTTCCAGTAACGTAGACAATACAGCTAATAACTGATAAGAAAATACGGCTAACTCTAGACAATATAACCCATTACACTTTCCATCTTTCATGTTTCTTTAGTCATCAAATAGGATTATGCTTAAGTTTCTTGGCAGCTTTTCTTGGGGGGTGATGGTGATGATAGTAATGTGCTGATATCTTTGCATGTAATTATTATGTCTGCTGTCACTCAGAAACTGTATATAAGTCATTTCAAATAGTTTTGCTAATAAATGTTTATTCTAAATGGCTTTCATTTCCTTCTGAAATTTCAAAATGATTTATCTGAATGGTTCACTTACTGTACCCTTTCATGTTAATTTCATGCAGTAGTCATTTGGCAGCAAAATGTTATTTATTTTGGTAGGACAGTTTTATTAGATTAAAAATGTCACCAGATGCAAATGCAAATATTTTGCAGAACTATTTTAATAATGCAGTAGCTAGCTTGATGAATAACTGTAATGGTACATGGGAATGACCTTGGGAGATGAAGGCAAGAGATTCTGCCTAGGGAACTATCAAATAAGAGAAAGCCTAGCCTACGGCTGTATAATGGACAGAGAAAGAAACTTCCCTCTCTTGTCAGACTGTAAAGGAAATGGTGGGAGATCTATACTATCAGATTGCATTAATATAGTCTTATAATAAATTAAAATTAGCTCATCTGGGCATACTTACTGTCTTATCTTGGAAGGTTGACAATAATCCAGATTGTTTACGCTTGTATTGCTGATATTTTGTTTCTATCTACCCCAAAAAATTGCAACTAATCCTTGTTTAGCAACCACAATGGGTATTAGCAACTTGGTCATTAAGCAAAGTGGTTGCTAAGTGAAAATCATGCGACTGCAACTGTGCTCATGATTTATTTTTCCTTTGCTTCTTGTTATTTTCATCAGCAGATTTGGGCTCTTTCTTTTTTTCTTTGAGGACATCTTGATGTGAGGTAAATAGGCAAGTGAAAATGAGCAGAGACTGTTGCAACTTCAAAGATCACTAAACCAGTTGCTTAGCAAGGACTACCTGTATTATCTTGTTCAGTTGCTAAAAGGTAGGTGGTCTGCTCTCCAAGTTAATAAAAGTTGCATTTAATTTTTTATGAAAAACCTTCCTCTGCTGGAATGCATAAGAAATTTTATTATATGTCTCTTTATCTGTTTTCATTTTTTATTATCCAGGATTAAAATGACTAAGTAGAGATAACATTGGGATGTTACATTTCAGACCTGCTACATCATAGATATTCCGGGCTTCTTGAAGATAGTTGTATGATTTCATCAACGTTCACTATCCATTAATCATAGAAATGCCTAAATAAAGCATTACATGTATTGTAGTTATTCATTTAATTATGAATAAAGCATTGCATATACCAAAAGGGTTCATAAAATCTTGTGCAAAAGTACAGAAAAGTACAGATGCTGTGGTCATAATAGAGGCTACTTGGGGATAAATGTTATTTTGCATGCTAATTTTATTTTGGATAACTTAATAGATGCTTATTTTGTCCACTTGCAAAATGAACAAGATGTATGTAATAACTTTTCTGGAAGAGGAGGAGGAGAGGGAGGGGGCCAGGGGGAGAAGAGGAGGAGAGGGAGGAGGAGAAGGAAAAAAAAGAGAAAGATCTTTCAAAGCTTGAAAGACACTATTTCTACCAATATATAAAATTATAAATTTTAGTTAAATGTAAAAGAAATTAAATTAAATTTAGTTTTAGTCATATTATACATACTTTAGAATGCAATCCACATTATATAATTGAAAACCAAATGCAGCCTTCAGTCTAAGAAAAGTGGCACACGTTTGCATTTCGTGCTTATTTTTCTTGTACAGTGGAATCCTCATAATTTGCCCACGATGGGATACAGGAGATTTAATCTCCCTATAGTTTAAATAATTGATTTGCTTTTCTTTAATATGAGAGAACAGAAAAACCCTTTTAGCAGACTGCCAAGAATATTTAATGATTCCTAATGTATTGATTTAGTCTTTCATTTATATCTAATTTTTTGATATAAAGATAAGATATAAATGAGATTCACGGAATGATGAAAACGAATAGATATTCTGCAACATGTAACATATGAAACATTTTTGCCAACTCTAAAAACAAATGAAAGCATGAAACCAGCACAAAGCAAATTATACCTATTTTCATCACCTATTTCCTCTTCCAGGTTGCTTAGTGACAAATAGACCCCCTTCAGTTAGACTAGTATTAATTTAGTACACTTCATGCCCACTTACACTATACATCAATCCACTATAAATATTTAACTATTGTAGCTACACATCTGCGTTCTAAAGTTATTTATATAAAGTAGCTTGCTTTGACTCCATATGCAATGCATAGAGGGAGGTGGATGGCTTGCCTATAGACTCTCCATCCCCAAGATAGTCTGTTTTATTTACCTTTCCTAGAGTAATGTAGGGAAACTGGCTTGGAAAATGAGAAATATTTCAGTTTCAAAAAGGGCTGCCAAATGTTGCAGGTGAATTGTGCATATAAAGGAATTTCACTTTTGGATTTTAAGCCATATTTCCAATAAATTGCTTTGTGTTGCTAGTCTTTAACTGTTGTCTGCTTTTGGGCTGTTCCCTGTAGTAATATTATAAAGCATTATCACATAAGGCATAATAGTGTGAAACATTCCACATAATAATGGTTAATGGTGCAAATAAGTGTGCAGACATTTTACTGGAGAAACAAATAATGTAAAACTCTTCAGCTGAGAGGACAGAGGAAGAATTATTGCTGCACAAATGGAATTAGCTTTATTAAGTTTTCACTTGATTATTATTACTGTAATTGAATGAGTCAATTGTTGTAGTTCATTCCTAGGTAATGTCTGCGACCCAGGAACCACGGCGTGTCAGTCACCCCCCCCCCTTCCTTCACTATCTCCCAGAGTTTGCCCAAATTCGTGTTCAATTGACTCAATAGGCCAGATATAATGAAAACTGGCGAAGTCACTGAAAGAAATATAATATTTTACAATATTTCTAAAAATATATATATAAAGTGTTAGGCAATTTGCCAAGTTTTAATGTCACCACAAAAGAAAAGTAAATATAATGTTGTAATTCACTTTTCTTTACCGGTAGTCCTCGACTTATGATCTATTGCTTTGTAACCGCATTTTGGAAGCTCGGAAACTGGCCCGCATTTATGGCTGTTTGCAGTGTCCCACAGTTGTGTGACTGCAATTTACAATTTTTTTCCTGAAAGCTGGCATTTACTTCTATTTTTTAATAAAAATGTTCCACAGTGAACAATGGATTTGTTTAACTACGATGGCAATCATTTAATGACTTTGGGCTCACTTAATGACCATGGTGATTTACTTAATGACCACAACTAAAAAGATTGTAAAATGTGATTACCCACTTTGTGACCATCACAACTTACAACTTGGGCAGTTCTGTTACAGTCATAATTTGAGGAGTACTGGTACTTACACATTTAAAATAAATGTCATTTTAGTTTTTGATTTGATTTTTATCCCACCTTTGTTATTTTTATAAATAATTCAAAGTGGAGAATATATATGATATTCCTTCCTCCTCCTATTTTTCTCACAACAACCCTATGAGGTGAGTTGGGCTGAGAGAGAATGACTGGCCCAAGCTCACCCAGCCAGCTTAGGATATCACAAGGTATCTTTAGCACTCAACTATCTAACCTGTAACCAAACCAATGACAAGTTGAGTCATAAAACCAAAATATTGTGTTATGTATACCCCTGTTATTTGAAAAAGTATAAGTAGCAAGAGACTCCAGACATTTTGAATCTTGTCATAAAGGCAAAGACTCAGGAAAGTGCTAGGCAGCAGCAGCCAACCAAGTTAGTATCACCAGGTGGGATTCTTGACAACATAGCCTGTCATAAATTTTTTGTTTCTGTAACTCTTTATATTCAATACATTGGCATTCAACCTGGGTTGTGCCTATTGTCTCTGCATTCTAGAATCTATTGGTTGATTATTTATTTATTTATTTATTAATCAAATTTCTATACCGCCCTACTCCTGAAGGACTCAGGGCGGTGAACAGCCAAGATAAAATACAGATAATACAAATATTAAAAATCCCTTAAAATTATTAAATATTTTGGCCGAAACACAGATTAAAACACCCAATTTATAAAATCACGAATTAAAAATTTAAAAGAGGAGAGTTAGGCCAGGCCAGCCTGCTGAAATAAAAAAGTTTTGAGAGCACGACGAAACGTGCGCAGGTCCGGGATCCTCCGTATCTCTGGGGGGAGCTCGTTCCAGATGGTAGGTGCCCCCACAGAGAAGGCTCTCCCCCTGGGGGCCGCCAGTCGACACTGTTTGGCCAACGGCACCCTGAGGAGCCCCTCTCTATGGGAGCGTAATGGTCGGTGAGAGGCTATTGGTAGCAGAAGGCGGTCTCGTAAATACCCTGGTCTGATGCCATGGAGCGCTCTAAAGGTGGTAACCAAAACCTTGAAGCGCACCCGGAAGACCACCAGGAGCCAGTGCAGCTCGTGCAGGAGGGGGGTTACATGGGAGTGCCACATCACTCCCATAACCACCTGCGCGGCCGCATTCTGCACCAGCTGGAGCCTCCGGGTGCTCCTCAAGGGGAGCCCCATGTAGAGAGCATTGCAGTAGTCCAGGCGGGAAGTAACGAGAGCATGAGTGACCGTATTTAACGAGTCCTGATCCAGAAAGGGACGCAACTGGCGAATCAGGCGGACCTGATAAAAAGTCCCCCTAGCCACGGCCGTCATGTGCTCTTCTAAAGACAGCCAAGGAGGACACCCAAGTTGCGAACCCTCTCCGTGGGGGCCAATGACTCGCCCCCAATAGTCAGTGATGGCACCAACTGACTATATCGGGATATCGGAAACCATAGCCACTCGGTCTTGAATGGGTTGAGCCTGAATCAGTTTCTCCCCATCCAGATCCACACGGCCTCCAGGCACCAGGACATCACTTCAAGGGCATCATTGGGTGGTCTGGGGTGGAGATGTACAGCTGATGACTGGCCACCAATGCCAACAGACAGATCTTTCTTTTTTCATCCAGTATAGACCCCAGAATAGTTATTAATGAACTGTAACTATGCTGCCAAGACAAGTTATTATTTTTATATATGTATATTATTACAGTATATTAATAATCAAAATAATTTGCTACTAGTTTTGAAACCATGCAAATGCACACATATAAATAGGTGATACCTGGTTCAACAGCAGTGACTTTAAGAGGGATCTAGATGTCCCAGTGGACCACTATGAACCAGCAGTATGCTGCAGCTGCCAAAAAAAAGTGCCAATGCAGTCCTAGTAACGTCAACAGAGGAATTTTTTTTTTAAAAAAAAATTTGATTTATATGCCGCCCTTCTCCGGAGACTCAGGGCGGCTTACAATGCGCTAAGCAATAGCCTTCATTCTTTTGTATATTTATACAAAGTCAGCTTATTGCCCCAACTGGGTCCTCAATTTACCTACCTTAGAAAGGATGGAAGGCTGAGTCAACCTTGAACCTTGGCGAGATTTGAACCTGCAGTAATTGCAAGCAGCTGTTCTTAATAACAGGGTGCTTTAGACCACTGTACTATCAAGGCTCTTATTGCATCAAGATCACGAGAAGGTGATAGTACTGCTTTATAGTGGACTAGTGAGACCACACTTGGAATACTGAATCCAGTTCTGGTCCACATGCTACAAAAAAGATGCCATAAGTGTGCAGAGAAGAGCAACTAAGATGATAAGGGGCCTGGGGGTAAACCATATGATGAACAATTAAGGGAACTGGATATGTCTAACCTATCAAAGAGAAGAATCGGGATGACATGATATCTTTCTTCCAGTACTTGAGAGATGGTCACAGAAAAAAGTGGGTTGACTTATTCTCCAAAGCACCAAGGGCAAGACAAGAAGCAATGACTCAATCAATCAATCAATCAATCAGAATAGAGCTAAAAGGGACCTTGGAGGTTTTCTAGTCCAACCCCCTGCTCAAGCAGGAGACCCTAAACCATTTCAGACAAGTGCGTGGCCCTGGTCTGAACCGGTAGTAAAGGTAAGTAGAACCCACCCTTGGTGTGTATGTCTGTGTGTACATGTGTGTGTGTGTGTGTGTATATAGTATGTGTATTATGTTCGGCATAGTCAACAAACTGATGGCATTCCATTAAAAGGTACAGTTACTAGTATAGGTAAATACTGGTTAACTGAATATATGATATTCAAGTCATCTATAGCATATAAGCAAGGGCATATTTTAATAAAGCAGTTCAATTTAAGCAGAGAAATATTTTAATTAAAATAATCCAAATCCTTTTGTGTACTTAGTGTCAGTATTAATAAACACATTTATTATTATGTAGGTTACACTTTCTTTTTAAAATACATTTTATTAAAAGTTTTAAAGAGAAATGTAGTCTATACTTTCTATCAGTTTGACATATCTATTTTTACAATCTACTTGTAACTGACAGGTGAAATATGTATGCAGGTGTTCTAAAATACAGAACAGAATTCTGCACCATACTGATTTATTTCATTATACAGAAGGCTCATGCACAGAATTTACTTTTGATCTTTTACATGGAAAAGAAATTCAAAGGGAAAATTCTTATAGCTAAACTTTTACTATAACTGATTCTGTAGTATGAAAAAAAAAAAGCCTTGACTTACAATCACAGTTGAGCTCAAAATTTCATTGCTAAGCAAGTCAGTTGTTATGGGTGTTTTGCTCCATTTTATAATTTTTTGGGGCCACAGTTGTTAAGCGGATCATTGCATTTGTTAAGTGAATCATGTGATTGTTAAGCAAATCCGCCTTCCCCCACTGACTTTGCTTGTTGAAAGCTGGCTGGAAGGTTACAAGCAGTGATCACATGACCCTAGGGCAGTGCAACTGTGATAAATACATGCCAGTTGCCAAGCAACCCAATTTTGATCACATGACCATGGGATGTTTCAACAGTCATAAACAACTGATCATAAGTTACTTTTTCAGTGTCGGTGTAACTTTGAATGGTCACTAAATGCATTTTGAGGACTACCAGTGTAATTGGTAAATCAAACATGTGTTTCATTGTCTACTTTAACTCGTGTCGATTTCACAGCAAAAAAAACCCCCTTATATGAACAGCGATTGCAAATAGTCAAAACATTAGTGGAAGTACTATCATCTTCAACATTCCTTCCTCCCCCCTTTTTTTATTTAAAGGCACAGTCACAGCTGTTCCTTATAAAATAAATATTGTTTGTTTATCTGTGATCTTGAAAAGTTGAAGACAATGAGGTAGTTGACTGGTCATAAAACACAAACTGATTTGCAAGTGGATAAACATGGCCTATTTCTCAGGCAGGTTTCAGCAGCTGGCAGCACCTAGCTGACCTTGGAAATCTGAGAAGTCTAAGCAGGGCTGGCCTTCTTTAATACCTGGACTGAGAGTGCTTGAAATTACAGGAATGCGAAACAAGCAAGGAAGTTTTTTTAAAAAAAAGCCAGCTAGAAAGGAGGCATTGAGAAACCACATCTCATGGGTGTGGTCACCAGTCATTGAGCACAACCTGAGCACATATTTATCTTTTAATTCATCAGAGATATGGGATCTCTGGAAAGCATGACTACTGCTATTGTAAAATTAACTTAATACTAAATACCCATGGAAAAATCACTACTCCTCTGTCCAATTAAAATATAGCTTTTAACTTAAAAAAAAAAAAGTTGCTGCGAAGCACTGGCGCAGATTTTGCTCTGGTTTTGGAAAGAAATTTAGTATTCTAGAGAATAGCTTTCTAAACACGTTCTCCCTTTTTCATTCTCCCAGAGTTTGTCTTTTTAAAATCCTCTATTCTAATCTGCTGAAATTCTCATTTCTTTTTTCCAAGGGTTTGTGCTTAATATCTTAATATTACTTAATATCCAGCTTGTATACCAATATATACCCCTTCTCATGTGAAAACAGAAAATTCTATTTTTGTTTTTCTCTAACTTTCATCACATCTTTATTTTTAAGCTGAAGCCAAATTGCATAAGTCTCCACCAGAATCTTCCCCTTTGATTCTTTTTTTTAATCATAGTTTAAAATGTAACTGTGATTTAGTATATCACTTCAATAAAATCTTTGGACATTTTTACTTTTTTTCATTACTGGGTTTTTGGGTTTTGAAGACACAATTGAGATCAAGTAGGATATGAACAACATATAAATTTGATGAATAAATTTGATGAATATAAATAAATGAATATGGGTACACAAAAGTATTATGAGAATTGGTCAGATTCATAAGGCAAAAAAAATAGCAATCATTTCATATAATTTTATCTTTAGTTTAGTGAGTAATGAAACTAAGCAAGGAAAGTTCATAAGAAGTGGGGAAAAATAGAATAACTGACAGGTAAAGTTTATGGAAGTCAAGAGGATGGATTGTTTTAAAGGGAAAGACAAAAATCTACAGGAGTGGAAGGCATTCTGTACTATACAGGACTTTAAAATATTGTCTGAATTTTAAAATTCAAACATAGTTTACATATTCCAGGAAGTCAACTGAAGTTACCCTTATTCAAAATGAAAAAAAAATGTGTCCATTTGAATAGAAAAAGTAAGATATCTTTATACAAGACTTCGATATTTGAAGGATTATCTATAATGGTAAAATTATATCCACAAAAATATAGAGAGCCAATTAATCTAACCTAGCCACCATGTTAGAAACCAGAAGACCATGAGTTCTAGTCCTGCCTTAGGTATGAAAGCTAGTGGTGTGACTTTGAGCCAGTCATTCTCTCTCAGATGCAACAATAACAAGGTTGTGGAAAAAGGAGGAGGAAGGAGTATTAAGCGTGTTTGCTTCCTTGAGATATTTATTAAAAAAAAAATAAAGGCGAGATATAAAATAAACAAACAAACAAATAAATAAATAAATAAATAAATAATCTTATACATGGTGGATAAAGAGCTTATCTTCTAAATAAATATATTTGTTGCAAAAATTCCTGAATCTCCAATCATAAGAAATCTATGGAATGTTGCATGTTGCTTGTACTCTGATTTTATCAATCAACAATATGCATTTTTCTTTTCTTTTTAAACATTAAGCGTTTTAAATTTTAAATGGGCCTTTTGGAACAAAGATAACACAGGAAGTGAAGAGTCTTCTTGAGTCATATTCTAAAGCAATAGAAAATTTCAACAAAACTAAGCAACTAGACACATGCTTAATTACTAATGAATGTGTGCTAAACATATCTTAAATGCTATGATATACATCAAAATTATATCTGATAAAATGTATTCTTTGTCTCATGTTTCTGGTAATTTGTAATGTATAGTACTCCAAGTCTGCAGGCAAGATGATAATTCAACTTTCCTATATTTTAAGAAAGAAAGAAACAAAGTTACATTCACTCCCCATTTCTCCAACTCTAATTTTGGGGTTTTCCCCTTATATTTTTATTTATGACATTTTCATCAAGAACAGGAGCAGCAAAAGAAAAATAATTTATAGTGAGCAAGAACAAGTCACTGTCCAGAGAGAAGCTTGTGTAGATCTGGGTCAACTTATATTAAGCAAGACAAGTGTGTATCATCTTGTCTCTATGTTAGGAATTTATGCTTGACAGGTTGGAACAGAAGTCCACCGAAACATTTGAAGGCCAGAAAAACCTACTTCATAACTTTTACCGCTTGGTCCACACTATAGGCAATGAAGCATACATTATTCTGAGTCTGAACTTCAAATTTTAAAATTTTGCATGCTCAGCAGGTTTACAGTATAAAATTCAGGGCCATATTTCCCTCTTGGAAAGATCAGGTGAACTTTAGTTAAAACAGAAAGTAATCTTGTTATGTAAGATAGTACTTTTTGCTCACATAAGCTGACACTTATGCTTAGTGTTCTACAGTAGAGGAAGAAGCAACTCAAGAAAAGGAATATATAGGCTTCTGTTATCTAATTTAGCCAATTTTCTGGCTTTGCATGATATAAAGTCTAAACCCCATGTAAGTTAGGGTTCAGCAAATCGAGACAGCCCTGGGGCTGGTTTTGTTATTCGAAGCACGGCAAGTATGAATCCTTCCTTTACATAGGAGATATGTAAATTTGTATATAGAACAAGGAATAGATTACTTATTAACTTGATTTTGACGTAAATGTTAGAAATCAGAGACGTTGAGCCACGTCCATTGTTTTACTTTTAAAACTAATACAATATTTAATAAAATATTTTAAAAAAAAGGATGAATCCTTCCTTTCTCTTTAAATTATGCGACCTGTGTGGAATTTCGACCCGGCATAACTTTTCCACCCCAATTTAGTGTTGCTGCCCGGTAGGTAGAAGGTAAAAAGACAGGCTGGGTAGAGAGACTCCAAGCCGAAAACGACGACAACCATGAAACCTCGGGGGGCTTTTAAGCGTTTGGTTTCTTAGAAAAGTTCTCCGGTTCTTCTTCAGTGAGGAAGCTTTCCCTCCGCTCAGTTATACGGAGCCCCGACTTCACACACGGGAAGCCTCAAAACTTTGAAGATGAAAGAACACAACAAAGGGGGAGGGGCGGTAGAACCTGTTGCCCGGATCGCTACGGGCGACCGAACGCCCTGCGTCTGCAGCAGCTGCCGGCTTGCCTGCCTGCCTGCCCGGCTTGCAACACGGGCAATGAACCGTCCGTCCGGGGAAAGCTGCGTGTCCTCCTCCCCTCCTCCCACACACACCCAAGGGGCAGCGGGCGGCCAGACACGTCGCGCGGATTTCGGGGCGTGTGTGTGGTGCTTGCGCCTCCTGCTAACCGCTGCCCGGTGGCGCTGCTGAGCGGCACAGGGGCAGCGGGTAGCCCGCCTGGCCTGGCCTGCCCTCCCGTTCCCCCGCAGCCGTCCCCCCCCCCCGTCCCCGTCTCCGGCGGGCAGTCGGGCAGGGCGCGCGGCGAACATGGCGGCGGCCAAGGCGGTGGGGCGGGACACTCTACCTGAGCACTGGTCCTATGGCGTCTGCAGGGACGGCCGGGTCTTCTTTATCGAGTAAGACACCGGGCGGGAAAAGAAAAGAAAAAAAACAACAAACAGGCGGGGGGTGGGGGGGGGGGCGGGGTTGCCGCTTCAGCGCGTCCCTTTCCCTTTCTCCCTCCCTTCCTCCGCTTCCTTTTCCTTCCCCGCCGACTTCTCTTTCCACGGGCTGGACTAACAGGTGCATGTTTGCCGCTTCTCCCTCTTTAGCGACTTGACCCGCGCAACTACTTGGCTGCATCCTCGCACCGGGGAGCCCGTCAACTCAGGCCACATGATCCGCTCAGGTGGGTGCCCTAAGTAAGCCCGGGCTCCTCGCGGAGAAAGAGGCGGCGGGGAAACAGGGGTGGTGGTGGTAGTGGTGGAGGGGCGGGGGGGATGGACCCCCTCCCCACGCGTGTTTCTCCCCCTGGCGCGCCCCACGCTGGGTGTTTGTGTTTGCCTTTCTCTCCCTCTCTCTGGGGGGAAGGAGTGCGGGGGAGGATAACGACCTTTGTGTGGCTGGGAATTATGCTCGCCTGTCTCCAGGGTACAAACATCTCACTTCCCTCCTCTTGGCCACTTTCTTTCCCGGCTCTCTTCCCCCCCCCCTCCACCTCCCTCTTTCTCTTTTCTTTTTCTTTTTCTTGTAGATCTGCCCCGTGGCTGGGAGGAGGGATTCTCGGAAGAGGGAGCCAGCTATTTCATTGAGTGAGTATTTCTCACTTTCGAGGCATTTCGTTTCCACCCGGAGGGACTAAAGCCGAAAGTCGTAGGAATTTAAAAAAAAAAAAAAGAAAGAAAGAAAGAAAAAAAAAAAGAGGACGATTTGTTGCCACCGTTTGTTCGGTTTCCAGACATTTGACTTTCGTTCAATTGTCTCCACGTCACGGGTGGGGAGGAGGAGGAGTGGGGAGGGGGGAAAGGGCCCTGTGTAACCGTAGTGAAAGAAATACTGCTTTTGTTAATGTATAAGAGAGCCTGGGTTCTGGCACTTCTGTTTGGGATACCTTTTGTTTTGTTTTGTTTTTAAATTTTGGCACCTCAGGTGTGTGTGTCCGTTCATTCGAAACTTCCTTTGTGTTCTCCGACACACGCAACAGGTTTCACCTGGGTTGGTTGTTTATACTGCTTCCAGGTTTCGGGCTGTGGAAGTGACTTGTGGACTAAATGTCAGCTATACTTGGCCAAATAACTTAGTAATGGAACCTGTTGCCTATGGTTGAGTTGAATGAAGTGTTACAGGGACCTTGGCAGAAGGCAGAGTCTTCCAACATGTGGATTGTCCCTTTTTAAGAGGTTTAGAGCAATTAAAGGTAGAAGCTATTCAATAATAAAAAGGCCATTCTGATCTAGCGCAAGATGTTTGCTGAGGATTTGAGAGGGGATTACAAAACTCAGTGACAGCAGAACAATAAAAACATTGAGGAAAAAACATAATGAAATTCAAGCAGTAGCTTGTTTAGGAAAAAAAACAAAGAGATTTAACAATTTTGTAGCTTCTCTATTGCAGAAAGGGAAGCTGTTGTTTTCTTGGAGAATAACAATTTACAAGGCATGTTGTCTTCATATTTATATCCGTTCAGTCATCTCAGTTTCTGAATAAAGCAAATGTATTGCTGCTTCCTCTACTTACTTTGCTGATAGATGGAGTTGAATCTCTGAAATGGTTTTGCTTTGTGATTTCCTTGTGGCACTCCAACCAACTTCCTTGAGCGCTGCAATTAAAACTTTTTGTTTTTCCTAGTGATGGAGACAAGGCTTGGTTTCTATATGGTACTAATCTAAAAAAGTTGAGTGAGTAACACATTGTCTTTGTCATGTCATTCTCTTTGTCATAAAAGAAGTATTCTTCTCATGATTTTTTTTTTAGATGAAAGGTCATTTTGCAAAAACTTGCATTCAAGCTTGCATATTTTTGACATATATGTGCAGGATTATTTTTTGCATCTATTCAGTACATGATACTGTTTTAAAATTATTGGATTCCCATGAGCTGTATTGGGCTACCTTATGAATAAACTGATGCCTATGAAGGCTGTCTCAGTTGAAAAACAATAGGGGTTGGAGGTGATTGGCATTGATTTTAGAAATTGTATTATGTGGGTTTAAAAAAAAGGATTTGAAATGTATTTGTCATGATGGCTTGCTGTTATTCATAAATTAGCTTGCTGGTTCAGAATACAACATAAATGGAAACTTGGGGGTTGAAAATGATTGACATACTTGACTTCAGAAGCTGTATTTGTCGCTTTGTTTTGCTGCTATTCATAAATTAGCAGGACCTTTCCATTTAGTAAGCATTGTAGGTTCATCTATTGCAACTGATTTTGTATTAAGGTTACATGTATAGTTATTTTGAGTATTGATTTTGCCCCTTGATTATCCCTTTGTCTCAAACTAGAATGTTATATTTCATACCTAAGAAGATATACAGTAAAATTCTATAATATTTAACTGGTTTAGAAAATGTTATGAATTTAAGAATCTGTTTAGACATGTATTAGAGTTGCAAACTTTTATTAATTGAGAAAGACCAGTCTGAGATGTACATCTCTGTATCTAAATATGTACAAGGATACTGTATATGCATAAATTTGTCAAATTTTATATAAATATCAATGTACAATGATTCAAGGGTGGACTTCAGAAATTTCATCCTTTTTCATGTTTACTTTTCTTTCACATTGTGTATAGAGTTTGAACAATAGTTTTTTTCATTCCTTTTTTATAAACTAGCCTATAGTTAGAGAGAAGGGTTGTGGTGGCTCAGTGGCTAAGACACTGAGCTTGTCGATCGAAAGGTCGGCAGTTCAGCGGTTCGAATCCCTAATGCTGTGTAACAGGGTGAGCTCCCGTTACTTTTCCCAGCTTCTGCCAACCTAGCAGTTCGAAAGTACGTAAAAAATGCAAATAGAAAAATAGGGACCGCCTTTGGTGGGAAGGTAACGTGCGCCTTTGGCGTTTAGTTGTGCCGGCCACATGACCACAGAGACGTCTTCGGACAGCGCTGGCTCTTTGGCTTTGAAACGGAGATGAGCACTACCTCCTCAAATCGGGAACAATTAGCACATATGTGCGAGGGGAACTTTTACCTTATAGTTAGAGATAGAGTTTTTAGCTAATATAATATGTTTTAAGGAAAGTTTAGCCAAGATTTGCCTGGCAGAATAGTGAGAAGCCACAGGGATATAAAAGAAGGAAAGTGGAGAAGGTTTTAGATAAAATTGTTGAAAGGGTATTGGAGGAACTGAAGAGATCTTTGGAATGGACAAAGTATATCTTTAGGATGGACAAAAAAGCCAATACAGTTCTGGGCTGCATAAACAGAGGGATAGAATCAAGATCATGTGAAGTGTTAATACCACTTTATAATGCCTTGGTAAGGCCACACTTGGAATATTGCATTCAGTTTTGGTTGCCACGATGTAAAAAAGATGTTGAGATTCTAGAAAGAGTGCAGAGAAGAGCAACAAAGATGATTAGGGGACTGGAGGCTAAAACATATGAAGAACGATTGCAGGAACTGGGTATGTCTAGTTTAATGAAGAGAAGAAGTAGGGGAGACATGATAGCAGTGTTCCAATATCTCAGGGATTGCCACAAAGAAGAGAGAGTCAAACTATTCTTCAAAGCACCTAAGGGTAGAACAAGAAGCAATGGGTGGAAACTAATCAAGGAGAAAAGCAACTTAGAACTAAGGAGAAATTTCCTGACAGTTAGAACAATTAATCAGTGGAACAACTTGCCTGCAGAAGTTGTGAATACTCCAACACTGGACATTTTTAAGAAGATGTTGGATAACCATTTGTCTGAAGTGGTGTAGGGCAGGGCCGGATTTAGATGAAAAGAGGCCCTAGGCTATTCCACTTATGAGGCCCTTTCACCAGTGGTGGGATTCAATTTTTTTAACAACAGGTTCTGTGGGCGTGGCTTAGTTGGGGGTGTGGCTTGGCAATCATGTGACTGTAGGCATGGGTAGCTCATCATGTGACCGGGTGGGCGTGGCTATGTGCATAGGAACTACTCAGAGGGCTGAAAAAAGTCATTTCTGACTGGGCCTCGCACTTTTGACTGGTCCTCACACTTATGACCATCCTCACATTTATGCCCGTGCAGCTTTCTTAACAACCATGTCACTCATTTCACAACTGCTTCTCTTCACCATGTGACAAGATAGGGCAAAAACGTAAAATGTGAGGACAGTCGTAAGTTCGAGGACTGGTCAAAAGTGCGAGGACCAGTCAAAATAATTTTTTCAGCCCTCTGAGTAGTCCATATGCACAAAAGGACTACCCAGAGGGCTGAAAAAAGTGATTTCTGACAGGTCCTCGCACTTTTGACCAGTCTTCGCACTTATGACTGGTCATCATTTATGCCCATTGTAGCATTCTTAACAACCATGTCACTCATTTCACAACTGCTTCTCTTCACCATGGTGACAAGATAGGGCAAAAACGTAAAATGTGAGGACAGTCGTAAGTTCGAGGACTGGTCAAAAGTGCGAGAACCAGTAAAAAATAACTTTTTCAGCCCTCTGAGTAGTCCATATGCATAAAAGGATACAGCAATAGAGAGGGATGAAGGAAGGGAAGGGAAATTAGAGTAGGAGGGTAAGAGAGGGAGGAAGAGAGGAGGAGAAGGAGAAAGGAAGAGGAAGTAGGGAGGAGAAGAAGAGGGGGAGGAAGAGAAAGTAAGAAGGAAAGAAAAGAGAGAGGTGGTAGGTTTGAGGAGAAAGATTGCTGTACAATAAAAAAGATGAAAGGGAAGAAAGCCAATCCCAAACAAATATAAAGATATTAAGATAAAGAATGAATTGTTAAACTTTAAAGAATAAAAGAGAACAAATATGAATAAATAACAATAATTAGAAACACACATACAAACATACAATGTATTTTCTTTGAACAGAGTATTTGGCCGGTTCATAAATTTAAACAGTGTTTAGTCATTTCAATTAAATTTACAATTTCTATATTTCCTTTTTGCCATATTTAATCCTCATCTATTTTTGTAAAAAACCAATATTACCCTTCATCCTCATCTCTAATCTTAATCAAATTCAATTTTTCTCTTCTATTCTATATTATACCCCTTCCCATTGTCATCTATTTTTATATCCATCCTCACATTGGTTAATTATGTAATATTAGTTGTTTAATATAAATTCAACATTTTAATATAAATCAATTAGTTATATAACTACCTTTTTTGTATATTAATATGAACATGAATATTCCAATTATTTCCATGCAATCCAATTTCTTACAAATCAATTAATTATATTTACCAATAATAATAAACCAAATAATTTCCCCCATATATTCCTCCAAACCACAACTTAACCATTTCTGCTTTCAGAAATATACAATTAATAGTATCTCAATTATTACCATTCCCTAGTTAAATAGAGCTTTTTTTCTTTTGTGTTTTAAAATCCTGAACTCTCCTCTTTTTCCCTAAATTTCCCATTGTTTGCACCTACCTTTTTTGGTGAGGAAAAAGAAAAGAATTCTGCCTGCCTAATTTTCCAACCTTGCAGCAACAGCAAAGCAGTTTCAGTTTCGTTTCTCAGCATAGGTAGGGGGAAAAAAATCAGCACTCTTCGCACCGAAGCAGAAGAGCCCTGAGCAAAACAGCTGAGACAAATCAGCTGAGAGCCAGGAGGCCAATTAGCCTCTGCTGAAGCTCCGTGGGCCAATAAAATTACA